CCCCCCCCCCAAAAAAAATAAGAAAATAGGTAAGCCTCATTTCTCACTAGTATCTATAACACAAGTTCGTCATGAACATGTAGCAAAAAAGCCGGCGTTTATTAGATAATCTGCCATACGAAAAAAAAAATTGACACTAATTTTGATTACCAATTGTTAATATTAGGCTTTTCATGATATTTATTGAAACAATTGCAAAACTACCGTCGCTTTTTATTCATCTAAACACCTGCATTTTTCCAATTAATTTTCCAACATAAATTACCCACATGAAGTGAAAACTTTAGTTCTTATTATTTACTTAATAAAAAAAGCAAATTTAACTACCATGACTATACTACATCTGTACAAGTGTCTTAATTAAGCAAAAACCAAAATGCCTTTTAATCTTCAACTCAAAAGAGGTTTGTGTGCACATTTTACTTAGTCGTCATATGCAGTTTGACATATTTCGTTTTTTCAGACACTTCCTATACCAGTTAAAATAGAGGGATACAAGCGAATACATGTATATGAAAGATCATAATATATTTGAACTGCCTAATAGGGAATGAAGACCTAATTGATCATCGCAGTTATATACACATCTTAGGCAGTTGAAATTAAAACCTTTCCTTGGTAAAACTAAATTCCCCTAACCAGATGAATATGAAATGTCAGGTAGGGTAGCGTCCCCCAGCCTCCCTAACGACTGTCCCTTTTACCTCGATATTGACACTGCATATTTGCATTCTTCAATAACGAAAAACTGAGTTGGGATTACAGTGACCTGAAATGCTTCTTCCAGACTTAGATCAGTAGTGCTATAATTCTAATTTTCCTTAGCTATTCTTCAAATGCCACTTTCTCCTTGACTTTTCCCTGACCTTGAAGAATTTTTTCCCTGACCAATTTCCTGACCTGTGGCAACCTTGCAGCAAACAACAGTTACTTACAGTGAACAGTGACATTGACTCTAGCTGTAGCAGGTGTTTCCACTCCATTACTGGCTGTACACTGATACTGGATCATGTTATCAGGTGTCCCAGGTCTGCGTACATTCTCAATGGTGACAGATGATGTATTAGAGAGCACCTCAGGACTGCCAACCTCTGTCCATGTTACGCTAGGTTCAGGTTCTCCAGATACATCACAAAACAAGGTGATGTTGTCACCTTCCTTCACCGTCTCTCTTGATGTGTGGTTTGTTATTGATGGAGGGTCTGTCATTAAAAGTAAATTGAAAAGAATAAAGTTACAAAAATATACTTGTATTCTTTAGCAAGTGGACAGATGCAATGAAACTTTTGTAAAGTGTGTTAAAACTTCATCCTGGCAATTATGAAATACTAATTAATTGTAGTACATAAATATTATTAAGGGTTGTAATAAAAACCATTTCTATCTTAACTTAACACACATTTAGGGTTATCCCTGGTTCCTTATGGCTGCAGTGTTGATAATACGATAATGCGACATAGTTAAAACAATGTTTCATAGACAGTAAAGTCAGGCACAGAAAAATGCAGGCCTAGACAGTGCAACTCACCAACGACAGTGATGCTGACTGTAGCATTGTCTCCTGTGCCAACTTTGTTTATAGGAACACAAGTGTACACTCCATCCTCTATCGCAGTGATGTTAAATAAACCAGAGTTGCTTTTATCAATAAAGAGTCCTTTAAAGTATAATTGATACTCAAGGTCTTCAGGGTTGGCATCTGTACTGCACTTTACTGACATGCTACTATCACGTAGCAAAGTGGTATTATGTGGAACAGTTATCAAGTTTGTGCTGCTTGGTGCATCTACAAGTGGCAACAGGAAAGTAACTCCGTTAAATAAAAAATCATTTTAGCATCTATCTAAAAGTCATGACAACAGTACATAACGTTTCAAGAAAGGTTACTGCAAATAGAAACATATCATTATTAAACGGATGGGACGTACATGTGCATGTGATCTATGTAAAATGCATTAAAGCTCCCTGGTAAAGGATTTTCAGCAAAAATTGCACCAGTGCAATAGCCACAACTATTGATTAAGTCCAGATATGCCTTTTTTTATGCAAGAGCATGTTATATATTAATTATTAGAAGGTTAACATTTTCTTGTTATGATAAAAATTAAATAAGCGTTAATATTTTTATACTAGGCTGCTGCACTGCTGGCGTGTGAAGACGATTATACAAGTAACCAAGCAAAACAATTACTGGTAGTAATGGTAAGTAGCACAGTTACTGTAAGCACACTTATGCAAGTGTAGGTGATGTAAATTCTTACAATGTGCAATATCCAAAAGGATATAAGAAGTTAAAGACCAAATTAAAAGATTGTGCTAATAAATAACAATAGCTAAAAAAAGGTGTTGCAGAAACATTACTAAGGAAAATAAAAATTATTCAACCATACCTTTAAGATCATGGCCAAAACCTGAGCCAAAGTCAATGTTAACTATGGGATATGACATTTTAAAACCAGGAAAAGACAAAAATATAAAGAGCTATTATGCTGAAGGGTGGCAAAGACTTCCAGGGTGAAAACATGACACTTTTTGTTGCTCCTCTCGTCTGTTCTTGACATTATTTACGTGGCAATCGGTTCGCTAAAAAATATTCACAGAGTAGGGGTCGTTGAAGACAATTACTCCTTCTCCCACTCCAAAGAAACTTCTCTTCCACAAATATAATCTGCTATATTTATAACACACATATATTGCAAGTTTTTAAATTGTAAAGTTGTACATCACAGTTTTGACAATTTTTACACTCAGAGTGATAGGTAACTTTTTTCGGAAACAAATTTCCAGGGCTTTTCCAGAGCTTTTCCAGACTTAGGACGAATTTTCCAGGACTCCAAAATTCATGTAAACCTTTTCACTCCCAAGATCTCAATATTTTAATTCTCCTTACTGTCTGCCATACATTTCGTATAGTGTTAGTTCTGAGAATTTGTTCTTCAATTGCAAATTAAGATTAACGTGCTTCTCATCTTCTCCTTCTTGTGGCTTTCGAACACCAATTCAACCTTGTTTGACACATCAAATGTCTTCCTGCAAACATTACATTTTGCTTTACACTTATCCTTGTTACATTCCTACCACAAAATTTACAGGAATAAGTTTCCAAGAACCAACTACCTTATTACATAAAATTTTCGCGACACGCTAATTTTGCGATTTAAAAAAAAAGTGAAATTAAAGTGACGCGATCAATAAGTTTCTCACCAGCAATGCAGTAACATTCAAAAGGATTGCAGATATGTCTCTTCTAACAGATTTTTATTTGCAATGATTACAGAACATACCTATGTTGACAAGTATCAAGCATTCTCTTCTTCATAATTACTTCAAGTTTTGATTTCAATTTGTTTAAATCTCTAATTTCTAGAAGTTAAAAAAAACTCTACATCACCAGCCACCATGCGTCCGGCATATGCTTGACATATCTCTCTCTCGCAAAGAGTAGATCTACACAGTCTCTTGAACTTAATTTGTCCATCCATTACTAAAATATTTTTGATCCTACATGTACGTTGACTTGCATACCATCTGTGAAGAAATTTTCACTCTGGTCAAACTGCATGGAATACAAAAGAAATGTAGCGTGAACGACAACAAAACTAAAAGATAAGGCAATTGGAATTTCTTACTTGAAGTTTTTCCAAATAAGCTTACAAATTTCACAGGCAGAATTTCAATATGTGTATACATAATAAAACACTAAAAAAGCAACAAAACAAAAACTGAACAAAAACTTACGCTTACCTTGGACTCCACAAGGAGAGAAAGCGAGTGAAAACCATCTATGAGCTTAATTTCCCCCACAAGCTAAATTAACATGATCCCACTTTCTGGCTTTCTCTTCCCTGGTTTCTTGTATCAATTCTTTGACCTCACTGACTGTACTGTTGTGACCGGTACATGAACACAGTCATTAATACTTCTACCAGCTTTCATCTATGTGTGAGCAAAAGCCAATAGGCAAAAAACAACATATCTACTAAAGAAAAACACGGGAAACCGAAATGGCCAACTTCAATCTTCGAGGTGCTTGACATACTGATACCCAGGCTCTCCAATTTTTTTTAACGGGCAAAAATGTGTGCCTTTCCAGTCTCCTCTCGTGAAAAAAACCTTCCTGAGGACGACTGAACACTCTTGGACAAAAACAATACTTAGTAAGGGACATAAGAGAAAATTGTTTAATCCAGGTCTTATGAATAAATTAATCATAATCGAGAGAGTGAGAGCCATTCAACTGCCTTCCAAGCTCATGAATGACGTCTGCATCCATGAGCAATAAACACTAATAAAATACAACACAAAATAAAAATAAATTTATTTTTCTTACCAACGTTTCTTTTGCATGAAGCTACTGCAACTTCAGGGCTTGTAATTACTCTGTGTCTATAGCAGGACCAAAACCTTTAAATTTTGCTGGATTTACAATTTGTCATGAGACGCTACATGTAACATATTTTCATTTGTAATCACGGAAAATCAACAACTAGATTACATGTATCGTGATCTTTTTCAGACAGCCACCAGTTACAAAACATACTGCTTTCTTTCACTTCTGCTCTGCGTTAATTAGCCCACAAAAACAGGTCCGTAGTGTGTGGTTGTGAGCTTATGCTTACTTTGATTCCATTCGGTTGGAGTGCTGGTTTTAAATGTAAGTATCTGGGAGCTAAATTGCCACAAGAGAGAAGGCAATCATTGGAAAGATAAAGGTGTAGAAATAACTGTATTAGGTAAAATAGATTTTTTTGATTTCTGGTATCAATGTAGACAAGTCATTACAAATTTAAGTGGGAAATTTGTTGCAGAATACTGTTTATTTATTTACTTTATCCCCTACTTTAATAATTCTTTGTTTAGCTCTTAGTCCCTGAGGGACATAACACGATAACAATCTCTCTCTATTTAGCTCTATTCTGTGCAGCATGTTGTGCCTTGTCTTGTGTGAGTTTTAACTTTTGGAGCTCTGCACTGTTTACACATGTCAAGTGAACTTGTACATGCAGTGTCAAGATGGCTATCTGCAGTAATGACTAAGCCTGCTCTATAACAACAAAATTAGGCCCGCAATGCATACTTGTGGTCCTCTGCTTAGTTTTATTCCATTCAGTTGGAATGTTGTTTTTAAATGTCAGTATCTGGGAGATGAATTACTACAAGTGAGAAGGTAGACAAGTTGTTAGAATTTTTAAGTGGGAAATTTGTTGCAGAAAACTGTTTACTTACTTACTTACTTACTTACTTTATCCTCTAATAAACATTTATTTATTTAGCTCTCATTCGCAAAGGGACATAACACAACAACAGTCTCTCAGTTTAGCCCTATTTTGTGCATTGCCTCATGTGAGTTTTAACTCTGAGCTTGGCACTGTTTACACATGTCAAGTGAACATGACATGACTGTAGATGTAGTGTAATGACTAAACCTGTTTAAATACATAACATCAATAACTAAGTCCTGCAAGGTTGTCAGTTGTTTTTTGAGTAGCAGGTTCCAACCAAACAGTAGGTGGCTAAGGTTTATGTGAAAAACATGCTGCGGAGCACCCAGGCAAGACGTGCACTGCACATCGTTCGGGGAAGGCCCCCCTCCCATTACGAAAATTTTGAAAAATAATTCCCTGAGATGCAATGTGGGGCTACTTTCAGCAAACATTGTGTACATTTGTAGACGATTTTCCCACTCTTAATTAGTTATTCTCAAATCCAGTGTTCATATTGTTCATATGACACAGCAAAAAGGTTAGGGAGGATTGACTCACTAAAGCAAATTTTCTCTAGAAAACTAACGACTAGAAGATTTCAATGAGACGTGGAAATATTTCAGTTAAGCTCTGCCTGCCTTACTATTGTTTTATTTTTCTTGATGTTTTCTATTTTTCCTTCATTTCTTTACATTTGATACAATGTAAATCGCACTCGCACCGTTACTCTGCACATTGTATAACTCTACTACAATATATTGCACTGGTATTTTGTGCATAAGTGGCCAAAAAACACTCTTTCATCTTTTTCTTTTCTAAGGACACATCCAAAACGATGCACACAATGGGGCTGGTAAGTTTGGTCTTCTTTAGTGTTGGGACACCAAGCAAGTTCTCCCCTGCTCCCACTTACAATGTTGATAATCACATGAGTGTTTTTGCCCTTTTTGTTGAAAAAAACACGGCATTTTCTAACAACCATCAGGAGGGATGGGGGATATGTGATTGAGCTCAAGTGTCCTATCTAATTTGTCTGGAATTGTCTAAAAGAGATATGCAAGGGGATTTTCCACTGAAGGTAACACCAGCAACTGTTGTGGCATCACAGTATTTTAGAATTTAATTTTGGGCCAATGACATACACTTTGCGTCTGGAAATGGGACAGAATTTTTCTAAATCAATCTAGACTAAGGCTCAGTGCAGATATGTGTGAAACATAACTCATTACTGCCTGTAATAAAATGAAATTTGCATTTAAGGGAAGGTTAGAGCTTGTGCTTATTATTTAAGACATGTTCCCGAATTATCAGTTTGCAAGGTAGCACATCTTTGTGCTCTTTCACGGGAGTAGTGATAAATTGACTGAAACCCACAGAAATGCTTATCAACGCACAGTAACCAGATATATCATGATTACACAAGACAGGACAACTTCCAGCTGGGTTAAATGTACTTAATTAAAGTGCACAAAATAACAACGACGGTTAACCACTTGAAAATCAGCGTTTTGCAACCTAACCTTCACTGTTCTTCCCAATTGGCAGAAGGTACAAAAAATTCATACTTCATACCATTTGAAATGCAGGATGGAAGTTTGCTACAATTTGGTGGCAAAATATGGTTAATCATCAACTGGAGACAGTAGGTTAACTATGTAACTACCTCTTTTATTTCACTTGAAACAATGTTAATTGGTTTCCTTTAATTCCTATAAAGTGGAAAAATGTATAACTCAAATGACCCAACACAGTTTGGAGCCAAAATGTTTTACTAGTAATGGTTGATCGTTATGGTTAATAGCAGCAGTTAATAGCCGCGGTTAAGCTGCTCACACCTCTGAAGCCAAGAACACACTTTGCTTTATAACCGTTCTGGTATTGGAGGGGAAAACTAAGAGAGACATACACAATTTAATTGTCTTTAGGCAACAGAAATGCTTTGTTGCTGTCCACAGATAAACTCTACGAGACAGCGAGCACATGGCTAAATACCCACTTGCTAGATACCCTCTGGTTTCACCCAATTTGCATCACTTCTGTCTTGCGTGAATCAACCACCCTTCTAAAGACGTACACAAGGTCATCTTTTTCAGTACAGAAAAAAGGGACATACTTTTCAAACACAATAACTATCTTGTGCAAAGTGGGATTTTAGGGGTGGGCAAATGACCACTTGCAGTTGCCGATCATCATAGGTCATTTAGAAAGATGACTTCATGATCTTTAGTGCCTACCCATGTAAAACTTGCCATTCCATGTTGTTTCTTTTCAGTATCGCCAGCGTTTGTTAGCTGTACCCGCTACACAGTACAACTCCCCTTTCTCCAACCTCTAGCTGTTACAGTGAGTGTTGTGACATTCTTTAAATTCTTCTTTTAGACAGTCCCGGACAAAAGTGCAGGGACACCAAGCAAGTTCTCTGCAAGTTCTCTCTACCCCCTCTTAGCTTACAATGTTGATAATCATTTGATTTTTTGCCCTTTCTGTTGAAAAAAAGTGACCTTCTTCAATATTGATTAAGGAGGATGGGGGATATGTGATTCAGCTCAAGTGTTCTTACTACTTTTGTCCAGGATTGTAGTTCTGTAGCCGCAGCTGTGGTGTCCACGTCATGTTTAAGTTTATTGCTTTGTTAGCCTTAGATAACAATTTGAGGCATGATATATTTCTGTTCCGCTGTACCCTCTATGCAAGCCTTAGGAATGTCAGGTTAGAGGCCTTTGAAAATTTCAATTTTCATGTTGTCATGCATGAGGCTCAAAATTTCAAAGATTAAGGTTAGGCAATGAAAATTTGCTCTTTGTCAGGCTAGAACATCATGAGACCAAAATTAGGTTATTATCAGGCCAGACATTTTTGTATGCGGGTGACAGATTTTTTATTTAGGGGCGGCAGGTGACTTCCCAAAGAACGTTTTGGGTAATATTTTTTTGGTGTCTGACTGTCTTTGTACATTACATCAATTGAAGGGGTGTGAGCGTATCACCCATAAATGTAATGCCAACCATAAATGGGTTACATTTATGATTGTTCAGTTTATTACATTTATGGTCAAATTTTATTACATTTATGGTTGGTGGATTTATTACAATTGTGGTTAAAAGTTAATACATTTATGGTCAGTATTATATTTATGGTCAATTCTTATCACATTTATGGTTGGTATTACATTTATGGGTGATACATGTGTGGACCCTAAGTGACATCACAGAAACTACAAGATTGTCCTTGCAAATTACTTATCACTTCCGTCTATGAAATAAGGAGAATTTGACATGAGATCAGGAGTCACTTGAGCCTTATTTTTCTCTGCACCTCTTCAATTGCAACATTTTCAGATATACATTACATTAACTTGAAGCTTATCTGCTTTCTTGCTCCTTTATTTGTTACATTGTAAGATAATTTAATATCAGTTAATTCATGAAAGTTGTGCACACCTTAATTACTCTGGACAGCATAGTTATTAGCTTACTTTTCACTTCAATCAGAGTAAGAAATGGCTTTAGGTAGTAAGAAAAAAATTGGAAACTCCAAAGGGAAGAGGGAGGAACTCGTCATCCTTGTGGACAGTTCCACTTTAATGCCTTCTTTCAAAGGGTTGTTTTTGCCATTGATCCCCAAACCTGTGTTCTTTGTTGAACAGAGGTTTCCTACTGGGTAACTCCCAGGAAGAAGGATCACATTAGAAACATCCTTTCACTGTACAACTCTGCAGAACTATATAGTGTTAAAATACTTACATAACACTGCTACTTTTATCATCTCTGTAGGTCCATCACCAAAGTCATTAAAAGGAGTGCAGCTGTAATTCACCTCCTTTATTCTTTCACTTACTGGGATTGTAATCACTGAGACATCACTACCATTTGTGTCATTTCTGAGACTGACCAAGTTTTTGCGGAATCGATACTTTGCAGGTGGGTTAGCTTGTGCCCCGCAGGTGATTATGATGGTAGCATTTACAACAACAGTGTCGTTTTTCAAATCGGTATCCAGACTTGTGTTTATTGGACGATAATCTACAATGAAAAACAAATTGAAATTAAAATTTATGAGTAGGCTAGTAATATTTTTTTGTCATTATTTCTATGATCTGATCAGGGTTTCTAAAACATTCAAATAAAAAAATACTCAATAGAATTTTAGAAGCATGCATTACTGTCTGAGTAGCACAAACTGTACGTCAGTGTGTCAGCTTTGGTACTCTGTTAAGCAAAAACATCTTGATTTTATGCAATTTCCAGAAAAACTGTGAAAGAGAAAACTGTATTGTGTGTTGCGATTGACTGTGACTTGCCATTATGTGTAATGAACTTTAAGTTTATTGTGGTATGTTGTGATGTATACTTAATGTAATGCTCGTCTTTGATTGCTATCATCCCCAACAGACAAGTTTAATTAGATGGTAAACTCTCTCCTGTCCAATTTTGAGGGCAATTGAACAAATTTTATTTGTCTTGTAGCTTTCAAAAATGTGATTTGGATGCTCATATTTGGAAATCATGAAACAGCGCTAAGAAAAATGATCTGCTTCGCAAACAAACTCCGCCCACAAACGCCTTCAACTGGGTTCTCAGGTAACTGAACCAATCAGTTCAGGGAAAGTTTACTACTGTTAACCTCCTGGTGAAATTTACGCGCGAATCTCTAAAAAACTCTTGTGTTTCGCAATGCGCTCAAGAAACCGGAGGCGGAGAGATAATTTCTCTGTAGCTGGTCTGGCAAAGTGGGGAAGACTAAAAAGGATACGAACGCTAGAGTGGCTGAGCGAAGAAAACAAACAGAAGGAAGCGCGGGGAGCAACTGTGTGTGGTCAACTGTGC